TAAATGTTAATCGTGAATATATAGACCATATGTTTTACAAAAAGCAGAGTCTTGAAACCCATGGACTTATGAGGTCATTGCAGTAAACCCTACCGAACACTCTTGTGATAATGAGTTTGAAGCACATTTGATGATGTTAAGGAAAAAATCTGAACAGCATGCTATGGTAAATGAAGAAAAACTGTTCGTAAGGAAAGTGAATCAAATGGAATGTCGCAAACACTATAAATGTGTGATGAATCGTAGCATAAAGGAATGCAAGGGAATTCAATACTATGCAAATATTCAACGAAACTATTTTCTCTGTGAAAGCTGTATTAATTTAATGAATGCCGGAAAATGAAGCTATGCACTGATTTATATACTTCCGTAAATGAACACTACCTTGTTTTCCGAACACCCAACGACTCAAACATTCGGAGAAATAAAAAGGAAGTGAGGAGCGCTAACCTTCTAGTAAGGTACTTCTAGGCAGCTTTAAAGAGTAATTTTCATCATACACTTACTCGACTTTTAGTAATTGTCACGGATTGATCAAATGTGGACAACAGAGAATGCGCAACGATTACGACAAAAGTAATTCGTATACTCCTTTTTTGAAATGTTGTAGCAACGAGAATCATAAAACGGTTCCAAAAGATAATGACCGCAAACTTCAGCGTACTGCGAGGTATCATAGCCAATGATATGGAAAAGAACAGGCCAGCATAGAAAGAAAAGTGGACCATAAGTCGTAGCTATCGCTACACGAACAGTCTTACAAAAACTGACTTTTCTGAAAAGGTAGGAAGATTTTTCAGCTTTTTTAATTGAGTAGAAAAATTTTCAAATCATAGGGTTGAAGGGGTTTTTAACCATGTGCATCTCACCATCAAAAACAAAACGTCATCAACCGTTACAGGATCATTTGTCTGCACATTTGCGACATAAGTGCAACAATAGCCGCAGGTAAAAACTTGCATGTTAAGTAGGAAAGCTTTGGAGACATGGTGACGACTCATCTCTAATACATCAATCTGCACAGCTTTGAAAGGGTAAAATCACATGAGAAACCTCCTAGGTGATATTACTGTAGGTGTTACCGTTTCACGAACAAATTCAGGATGCTTCGATCACATTGAGATTAGCATGAAAAATGTTGGGTGTGCTTGAATTCATGGAAAATGGTTTGATACATATTGCGGGAATATATAAAGAAAAATATGCTCTTTTCCACGACTAAAAAGCAGAGTAAAATCAGCATTTCTTGCAAGAAATGATTACGAAATTCCCACATAATTTTGTTTCATGGTGTATGCTGCACATAGAATAAACCGAACTTCAGCTCAGACTTTGTGGTAGGAAACGCTTTCTTTGCGAGAGCATCACGTCATATATAGTGAGAGAAGTTACACACATCTTTAAGAGCGAGGTAAAGATCGAGCCATGCATAAAAGCCAGTAAAGAAATGGCAAGAAAAGGGTTCATGGTCGATAATGGAGATCTGAAGCGTAACACATACGTTGAATTAAGCTTAGAAAATTGATGTTTTTTGAAAGAGAACAAACTCTTTCTAGACGATCTGCATAGCTTTAGATGTAAAACTAGCCGATACACTCCATTAGAGAGTACGAAGATTCAAAAAATACATTCTCGGTCTCTTTCTAGCCATTCTCTTGCAAACATGTTGTTCGAAAACTTTTCTCCCACTATGCGGCATATTATTCATGCGTGAAAAAAGCTTATAACCATTCAAAGCATTGCTGAGGTGTGGAAAGCGTAGTCAAATCAGCGTTTCAAGGCCAATTTGATAAATCACATCAATTTTTGTGCACTTCTACTATAATCGTTTACCAGTGAGATACTAATTTAACATCATATTGATCCTCACCGGCAACATCCTCAGTTCGAAGTGCCTGTGGCAATGTTGACGGTGCCGGTGTTTTCGTGACATCCAGCTGTCGCATGGGTGACGGAGTTCGCCTTGACATTCCTGGCGATTCAGCAGAGGCAACAACCAACTCTACAATCGGCACGAACATCTGGTTCAAGCTTGCCGGTGCACTGCCTTTGCGGTGAGACTCATTGGCTGGAGGCTCTTTGCGTTTTTTGCGAGAAAGAGATGGAGACCTTCTTCTCGAAATTAGGTCGGACAATCCTCCTAATACATCCGTCAAACGGTACTTGCTTTGTTGTCCAGCAGCCATTCTCGAATCGATGAAGCAGGTAGCAGGTAGCAGTGCTTAGTTGTAGAGTTCGTCGTCAGGCATAGTCGGAAAAGGAAT